TTCAGGTTTTCTTCAAGTTTTAGGGAGGGAATACAAGTTATAACACCAAAAACTTAACTAAACTCAAACATCATCTTTTAACAGGAAAGTTTAGTTCCATTCACGAACTGTTTTGAACATCTTAAACTTTTCAAAACTGTACAAGGTGCAAATAGTTTAGGTTTATACCTTTCTAATGACTACTTGCACATGTTCATACGATTTTTCTACAATTTATGGCGATTTTTACAAAATTGCCTATCATTTCAGAAACAACTTCGGACCAGTCTGTAAAGTTTAACATTTTCACACAAGTTAGAGACTTCTAAAAATCATAATAAAAATTATGAACAAACTAGACACGTTTTCTAAACTCTCAGAGTTTACGGATTCAGTTTTCGACTTTGTATGATTTTTCTGTGATTTTTCTAACACAGTGCAGAAAAGTTAAAAAACTAGTTAAACAACTTATAATATTAACAACACTTTGTAACATGTTGAGCAAAGTGTATAACAATAAGTTTCTAAATGTTGAATGTGTTTCTTGTTAGTTTAACATCATAAACAGAAATTAGTCATCCCTGATAAGGGTTTTCACTCACTTCGAATACGTACAATAAATTATAATAGGTATAGTTTATGGATTTTACATTACGAACATACCACATAGAAGGGGATTCAATTCCACCACAGAAAAGGTTTTACATTCACACAACACGTAAACTCGTTAACATAAATTGTGAGACATTACTTCATTGTACTCTTAGAGTACGGGTTAAAATTCCTGTAAGTTATAACCAGAGTCTCTTGTAGGGAGAGCGTAATAATTGTATATAGATCTATATTGGGATTGACACCCGACACCTTGCTGCTAGCAACAGTGGGACCTGCAGGTCTACGGGTGACAAATGTCATAACAATTTCGACGCCTGAAGAACGTCGCAGCAGGTCTACTCTGTCATAGTATGGTTATAGCGACTCACATAGGGAGATAACGACACATTTAAAGTTTACGTGAAATTCTACTTTAAAAAGGGGGTTTTATCTATTTAAACTGCATACATCGTTACAAGTACGTAACACACACATACATTTGGTCTTGGGATTTAAGACTACATAACATTTTATAAGGAAAATATTGGATTTTTCTTGAGTATACATTACATTTTACAAACAAAGGTTTTCAAACTCTACATCCAAAAGCTTATGAACTCATCAACTTAATTGTTGACACTTTTTCGAAACTACTTGTATTCTCAGAAAATCAGTAAAACAGGTAACCCGCAGCTTTTGAGGATGGGACGCTAAGGCGTCAAACGGTTCATTTTGTCATCATAGTGTAAATGATTTTGAAACATGTAAACTCATACTATGGTGTAATTTTTTTCAATTATATTTATGATGGTTGTATTTGCTTTGGTCACTACTATACTCGTTGTTATGATACTATACATGAAGTCCGTCACCCCCGGACGTTTCCGCCATCCTTGGTTTGGGGGTGTGACAGGTACGTTGGACGTACTGGGTCAATTTCCCGCTTTTGGTCAAGGCCAGCATACGCTGGGCGTACGTGCCAGGTACGCCGCGCGTACGCATGCAGAGTGGCGAACTTGGGCTTTTGGGCCTGGATAGTTGGGCCTCATAGCCCACTGTGGAGTAGAGTTTCTAGGCCTAAAACTGAGATTTAAAGTATTGGGCCTTTTTGGGCCACTCGAAATTATTTATTTTGGGATAAGGATTTACTGGGCTTGTGATAAGGCCCATTTGAGGAGTTGGGCCCAATTTAGAAAATTGGCCAATTAACGGGCCTTTAACGGGCTGGGAAAGATAAGATGGAATTGGGCCTTTGGGTATGGTCCAAATTAGACCAAGGGGTAAAATGGTCATTTTACCCTAAGAAGTATTATGGATTTTACTAAATGTTCTTATGATAATGATAGTCGGGGAGTCATCGGAGCAGCTGTTAGAGATTCCTTTCCGTGATATTCGACATTCAGCTTTACGAGGTGAGTGACCTTCCAGTAGAAGTAGGTCGAAGGCACCAATGCCGGCCCACTAGTAAGTGTTATAGTAGAAATGATTGTCTTTGTGATAATTATATGGTATGCCACTATCTGTTATGCTTTATGTGCTAGTATGCTATGATATTATGTGAAAGTAGTAGGAGGGGTAGGATAGGCCCCAGTACCGATCGAAAAGACTGAAGGGGTAGGCCGGCACCCTGATATGCTAGGCATTATGTGACTTATGTGCTTATGTACTAGAAGATTACATGGTAGAAGTAGGGGTGAAATAGTCCCCGATATCGGTCGAAATGACCGAAGGGGTAGGCCAACACCCTGATATCCTAGGTAAGGTACCGGTCGAAAGGGCCGAAGGGGTAGGCCAGCACCCTGATATGCTAGGCAAGTTACCAGTTGAAAGAGACCGAAGGGTAGACCAACACCCTGATATGCTAGGCAAGTTACCGGTTGAAGAAGACCGAAGGGGTAGGGCCAGTACCCAGACATGTTAGACAGTATGTTTATTGTATGGATGTGGTATGATGGGGGAACTCATTAAACTTTGTGCTTATGGTTTTCAGTTTTTGTTTCAGGTAATTCTTCTTTGAAGGGAAAGGAGCCGACACGATAGTAGCGCATCACACCACGATTTTCCGCACTATGATGTTCTTGGGATTTTGTAATCTGACATTATTATATTGTGACATGTTTTGAGACATATGACTTATAGGTTTTTTTGTATGAGTTAACTTCATGATGTTTTCAATAATCTGTTTTATGAATTATTAAATTAAAAATGAAATTTTTGGTCTTAAATTTTGGGATGTTACAAAAATTCATACATCAGGATTCGGATGTTACATGAGCTTCGTGACTCAGACCATTACTACTTATGTTCGAGTCATCTAATCGGTTGCTGGATAGGGTGAGTCGGAGGACCACTGCTAGATAAGTCTAATCCATCTAACGGGTGTTGATGAATCATGTTATCCGGGGTGTTTGCATACAAACAAGGCTCTCGGCTCCGGTGCCGATCCACCACACAAACAAGGACTCACGATTCGTGTCGTTCCATCATCAATAGGGACTCATGACCCTCGTGTCGTTTTGTCATTAACAATGAGTATTCTAGGCTCACAACTCTCGTGTTGTTCCACCATCAACCCCTCAACAATGATTATTCTATGTTTACAACTCTCGTGTTGTTCCGCCATCAACCCCTAAACAAAACATTTTTGGTTATTATGAAATCAAGTTATAAAATTATATTGTAATTAATGTCATTTTATCTTATAAATTACTCTCATCATATTGCAATACGGGTACGAATGTTGTCGAAAAGATGTGCGACATGCAGAGGTGAACGATCATGTCGCCTGTTTTTTTTTTTTTTATTATTTTGAATTCTCTTCAATTAGTGATTAAATTGTTACACGTCTATTGGCCGACCTGAAATTACAAACCATGGTGGGACATTGATTGAGTATTGAGTTTACTTATTTCATAGTTATACATTATTTATAATTATATTTTTTTTAGATTTATTTTCTTATAAATATCGGTCAACGTCATTAGGTACTACGTGAGCTATGTTTGTACACGATGGTTTTAAACATATGCGCCAACATTGTTTCTGAGAGACAATTTTTCATGACTTCAACGTGAAGGGGAAATTTAGAAATGTCAAGATGAAGTTGTCAAAACTCTAGATTACATCAACTACCGTACGAATGCATGCTTAATGCGAAGACTCATCATTATAAAATTTGGTTTGGTTGAGGGGTTGCTACAACAAGAATGAAAATATTGTGGTATCTTTCTTTGTTAGTTGGGAAATAATATTGTCAATTTGATGATAGATGGAAAATCAATATGCTTACTTAATTATACTGAAATAAAAAGATAATTTTTTAACCATTTGGTAGATGACATATCACTTTTGCAGATCGAAATGGTCATATAAAATAACCATCGTTACTTTTGCAGAAGACGTCATCGTGCATAGATGATATCTGTAAAAACAATGAATATTACTAACTTTTGCCTATTATCTTAAAACATTTGATAGGATTAGAAATATTGTTGTTTTTTTTTCTCAAAACTAAATTACGCATATATAACACTAAGATATTTTAGTGAGTAGCCGACATACAAATATATAGAAAGTTGTTGCTGGAATTAATCCTCGACGGAAAACCGTTTGTTTAAAGATTTCGGCCTTTGGAGCATATGGTCAAACCATAGGGGCGCACGCTGAACCCCATTTAATTTTCTATACTCCTCCATATTTCTGCTAATCTCAAAATCTATCTCCTTCCTTTTTTACCATCACCATAAAAGCTTTACAAATTCGAACCACAAAATATCCAAACCCTTTAATCAAACGGGTCAAACTAAAGGTTCTCTTTCGAAAAGATCCTTCAATCATTACAATATGCGTTTGAGAAATATCTTTACACATTACACAAAAAACTCGTGTCTATACGCCCAGATCTGTTCACTTCTAGGAGGATCCGTTATGTATTTCGCCAATTAACAATCTTTGTACGTATGACATCGCCGGGAGACGAGCATTCGGAGAACCACCACCGGCCCGCTGAGCGTTCTAATCCGGTCAAGAAACCGGCATCGGTGTCCATGGACCACGTTTTGTCAGCATTGGGGGAGACTAAAGAAGAAAGAGAAACCCGAATTCGGAGTCTGTATAATTTCTTCGATACATCAAATGCAGGGTACTTGGATTCCGCTCAGATCGCGGGTAGGGTTATCCGCGTTGCAAATTCCGGCGGATTACAAATATGCGAAGGATTTGCTTAGGGTTTGCGATGCTAATAAAGACGGGAGGGTTGATTATCAGGAATTTAAGAGGTATATGGATGATAAGGAGCTTGAACTTTATCGTATTTTTCAAGCTATTGATGTCGAACATAGTGGCAGCATTTTACCCGAGGAGCTCTACGATGCTCTTGTTAAGGCTGGTATATTCCATACGTTCCCTTTTATGTTCGTAATTTGTTGCATTTTGCTTTTAAGTATTCGAATTAGTGGCAAGAAATTTGAGTGCTAGCGAGACAAAATCAGATTCCTAGTTCAGAATCATGTTGATTAGATTTGTGCTCAACATGCTCGATGAAATTTCCAATATGTGACTTTTAAATAGCTTACTTTATAATATTCTAGTGCTATAGCTTTACACAGTGACTCATAAAGAGAGGAATATCTGCAAAGTTTCTTCTGGACCATTGAACCATTGCCTGTGTCTTGCATATCAGATGGATTCAAATTCTGTCTACAAGGATGTCACATAATCAATGGTGCTTGTTGACGTTGACCTTTTTGGTCATTTTCATGGCTTTGCGAAGTTCAATGTCAGGATTAGTTTGACTTCTTTTTAAGAAAAGTGAAATTCCGGACGCATCTGGACTAATCAACCAAATTGTATATCAATCTTATGTATCGATTTTGACTGTTAAACAAGTTATTGATTTCCATTGAATTAATCGTCTACATCTTATTAGCCATGGCAGCTTTCCATTTTCAGGTATAGAACTCGATGATGATGAACTCGCTAGTTTTGTTGAACGTGTGGACAAAGACAACAATGGAATCATAACCTTTGAAGAATGGCGTGACTTTTTACTACTTTACCCTCACGAAGCAACCATAGAAAACATCTACCAATATTGGGAACGCGTTTCCCTTGTAGACATCGGAGAACAAGCGGTGATTCCAACCGGAATCAGCAAACACGTCCACGCCAGCAAATACCTGATCGCCGGAGGAGTCGCCGGAGCCGCCTCCCGCACCGCCACCGCTCCGCTCGACCGCCTGAAAGTCGTCCTCCAAGTCCAAACCACCAAGGCTTCAATCGGGCCCGCAGTTAGAAACATATGGAAGGAAGGTGGGGTGTTGTCTTTTTTCAGGGGTAATGGTTTGAATGTTGTGAAGGTGGCTCCTGAGAGTGCTATAAAGTTTTATACTTATGAAATGTTGAAGAATTGGATTGGAGGTGGTGATAAGGATGATATCGGGACTTCTGGGCGGCTTCTTGCTGGCGGCATGGCGGGTGCGGTGGCTCAAACTGCTATTTACCCGATGGATCTTGTGAAGACCCGTTTACAGACCCATGTTTGTGAAGGTGGAAAGGCTCCGAGTTTGGTCAAACTTTCTAAAGATATTTTGGTTCAAGAAGGGCCTCGGGCTTTTTATAAAGGGATTATTCCTTCACTTCTTGGAATTATTCCTTATGCTGGAATTGACTTGGCTGTTTATGAGAACTTGAAAGAAATGTCAAAAACATACATTTTCCTTGATAAAGGTTGGATGCTATTTTCGTGTATCCCCTCCCCCCTTCTTCCAAATCTTGTATATCTTTGAAAGGTGGATGCTATTTTTATGTTGCAAATGCAGATCCTGGGCCTTTAGCACAATTGGGTTGTGGGACTGTTTCTGGTGCCCTTGGAGCCACTTGCGTGTATCCATTGCAAGTTGTAAGGACAAGGTAAATGTTTGATCTTGAAAAAAGTAGTTAATTATAGGTATGAAAATTGTTATAATCGGGTAGATATTTGAAAGTAGAATGTTGTAATGTAAAGTGAAATGGAAGTATGTGTGGTATAGTTATAATATGAATATATATTGTTAGGATGCAAGCTAATAGGCCTGGTGGAGCGGATGCATACAGAGGAATGAGTGATGTGTTCTTGAAGACTTATCAGAATGAAGGGGCACGTGGTTTTTATAAAGGACTTTTCCCAAATCTTCTGAAAGTCGTGCCAGCAGCCAGTATTACTTATATGGTTTATGAAGCAATGAAAAAGACACTTGATCTTGAATGATGATGATGAGAAGTTAGAATAAAGAGATTTTAGTTGATTATTAGGTGATATACCCATTGTTGGATTTACATGGTGATATTGATAGGTGTTGTGTTACTGTTAACTTACCACTTGGGAAAACGCGCTGTTTTTGTAGCGAACAAGTTTTTCTTCAGCTTCATTCTGATTCCATGTATATGTTATGTTAGGTGGTCATGTGGAAATTGAGTACAATAGACTTGCCGATTCTTTGTTACATCAATTATCAATACATGTTGAATTGTGGGATGCAATTGAATATAATTATTCAAAATCTCGTTCTTCAAGACTGCATTTGTTACACAGGACTGGGATTGGACAGACTTTCTAGGGTTATTCTAGTCTTTTGCACATAGATCAAGAGCGAATTGTTGTCCCATTTTGTCTTACTTTTTTGGAGGGGACAAGAAATGTATTTCTTTAGTATCAGTCTCAATACAATACATGTGTAGCAGACAAAACACACTCCAACATATCTTGTGTTTGTGCATGTTAGGACCGAATGCGAACATGAACACGAACATAGGCGGGAAACCGGAAATTGAAAAACTAAGGAATGGAAAACCAAATCAGTGTAAACTGATTCCATTATATTTTGGGACACCAAAATTGGAATTGTATACATTCTTGGGTTTGTTTCAATATTTAATGACACAAATGTCAAACAAAGTCATTTCAAGTATATAAAAAAAAAATACAAAAAAGAAAAGAAAACAATAAACCAGTTCTGTTTCGGCGTGAAACGTATTGAAGCTAATCGATAACAATGGAAAATCGTCAATCCAATGACTATGCACATAACCATGAAAAAATTGTCAATGGAGTGGTTAACTGATATAAATACATATATAACGTATGCAAAGAACATCTCAACAAGGTGGACGTGCCGGAGTGGTTATCGGGCATGACTAGAAATCATGTGGGCTTTGCCCGCGCAGGTTCGAATCCTGCCGTCCACGAATTTTTATTCCGTCTCTGTTCTCATCTTCTCAATCCTTTTTTAACCCTTCAAATTTATCAGTCTCCCAACCCGCTAACTGGTTGTAGTTGTTTGTACTAGACTTTTTTAACATGTTTTTTATTTAATATGGAACCGAATCATTTTTTCTATCAACTTGCATAGCGTCATTTTAGATTCATGTTTATAATTAATAAGTGTATGTATGCAGTTTGGTTTATAATCCAGAAATATATTTTTTTAATTTTTTGGTTGAGTTCTGTTCTGTCTTTCGATTCAAACCCACTGAACAACGCATACTAGATCCTGCAAAAGAATTCAGGTCACTTAAATATATTTGTTTTATTATGATATAAAGAATGAATGCATCCTTTTTATTTGATTTTTTGTCATTTTATTGTTTTTCCAATTATTATTATTATTATTATATATTGAATTTTATTTATAACTTTTTTGATTTTCTCTCTTATTTTTGCGCCTTTTTTTTTTATTAAATAATGGATTTTTTGTGTTTATACTCAAAATTAGTCAAAAAAATTTAAATGTGGTTATTTCAAATATAAAAAGTAAAAAAAAAATGAAAATAAGCTTTAAGTACAAGGGTTACATATATAATATTTAATTATTTGAGTGAATGAAGTTTGACTAGTGTCACTTCTTGACGATATGACCTTCAAACTATTCACGACATAATTTACGGATCACGTGGAAATGAATCATTTATCTGAGTGAATGAGTCACAAACGTCTTAGTTGTTTGATTATAAAACGAATGTAATACATTTATTTTTTTTTTCAAACAAAAAGTTTTCCATCAATCGGTAAACCGCAACAAGAAGAAGAAAATCAACTCATATTATGTACATGTCGATAAACTGTGTCGTAGTTGCGGATTACCTTGTGCGACGAAATTCCAATTTATAAAAAGTTGGCCAATCGATACCGCTAGAGTCTATTGACAAAATTTGGAGCATGTTTGATATAAACAAAGTTTTGAGGATAACAAAATCGATTATGAAGATGATGTGGAAATGTTTAAACAAAGCTTTGCTAACCAGTCGAATGAATGCAAATCCAGTTATGAGTTATTTGAAGCTATTTAGGAGCATTTTTGTGCCATCAACAACTATGGTTGTTGATCAACTGTTCACAAAGGTTCATGTGGACGTCCATAGAGCACAAAACATGCAAAAGTAATATGTTCAACCAAATAATAATCTATCAACACAAGATCCTTGTAGACATAGTGTTTTTATGTGTACGTTAGATTTTGTGGGGTCTAGATTGTTTGATTTAAACCAGGAATCGACATGTTCATTTCAAGAACGTTTTAATGTTCAATTCATTCTTCAACCAGGACCAAGCTACTCATAGCTCCTACCGTAACAAAGATGAATCGATGCATAACTCATACTTCCACCAAGAACAACCAATGCATTACTCAAACCCACTTATGAATGAAATTTCATATGAATTTCATCCCTACGTCACAAACATAGAAAATATGCTTAGAGGTGGAAATTGTGATTCTAGGAAATAGTCATTTCTCTCGTATATGGGGAAGATTATTGGCGTACAATTCAGTTTGATTTATACGAGGAGTTATTGCGTACCATGAAGAATACACCTTGATATATGGAGTTTATTTCAACAATATAAACCATTCGTTGATTTACTTTGAATCGGCTTTTGAAAGAATGGAACATTGGCTTATTATGTCGGACACCGGTTTTCTCATTGCAAACAAGTATGGTGTAATCGTTAATTTTCTAAGCAAACAAGATTCGTTGACATGCTTTCGACTAAGGCTTGCTCCACAAGACATCCCAACTAATGTAGTTATAGTTTTTGCATTTGTTTATGGTAGTCATTATGTGAATGTTGATTTACAAGCAACGTATCTAGTATCTACTGTTTTTCCGTTATAGAGAAACCACATATCACAACATGCTGCTAGATGGAAAGCCATGTATAATGCTCAGGGCCGGATTTGAAGGGGGGAAAGGTGGACAGTTGCACATGACCCATTTTTTTTTATATATTATATACAACCATAAAGGCCCAACCAGAAGTCATATTCCAGATTTGCTAATCGACTGACGGTCTAAGACGAATCAGAAATCAGCAAACTTCTAATTACGCCTTCTGAAGACAGAAATCAACGAATCAATGATATTCCGGTATATTTTTCTACTTTTCTTTTTATTCCAGTTTAGCAGCCTTGAATCAGAAATTGGGGTTTTGTTCCAGTTTAGATGCCTTGAATCACCATGGAAATCATCTTCTTTTGGAAAGACTATTCGGGTATATATTTTATTAAAATATTATCATTTGTTGATGTTTTTGGGGGAGTATATGAGGTGATTATAATGGCCAAATACAAGAGTTTCTTATTGCAATCATATCAACTACATTATTTATTTTTTATATTTATTGAATTTTTGTTAACCTAAATGGTCAAATTGGGACGAGGGGAGGAAGTTAAGTGTATATATTTGTAATGTTTCTTGCTCCTATTGAGTGTTTATATCAACCAATTTCAAGATTAAATCATAAATATATTTTGTTGAGGCATGCAAATAAAAACCCATGAAAGGTCTATGAACATTTATCTTTTGTTGTTTTAGTTTTTTGAGTTTCACAGGTATGTTTTCTTTTTATGACAAAAGTGATAAGTTGATTGCTTTTCACTATTGATACATCCTCTTCAAATTGGAAATAGAAAACCATAAACGAAAAGGTTTGTTTTTACAACAATATTGAAACTTTATTGCTATTTTAAACTTGATGTTAAGAAGGTTGTAGGCTTGTAGTTTAGTACTTTATTCCGTAGTTGAAAAAGATTTATAGATTTACACGCAACAAAAATTGATAATGATTTTGATGGGAAATTTAAACTTAGCATTATTGTATTGTTTGTAATATTTGTTATATGATCTTGTAGTTATCACATATGATTAAATATTGCAGTTACATAATACTACCAAATTTAGTGATTCAATAAAGTCACCGCTTCATAGACGGTGGTGATTAGTGTCATTTATCAAATGAAGTCGTGTCGAAAAAGACTTTGTAGATTTATAATTCAATGTTATACGTCACAAGTCACAAAACCGCATTGAAAATGGTTGACTTGTTGACGTTGTACATTTAAGTTTACACGGAAGAAACTACTAAGTGTAACGATTGAATGCATCATCACATTGTACATCTCCGTTTTAAAAAACTTTATTTTATATAACTTATTAATTTAATTTGTTACATATTAGGGCCTAAGAGCATTTTTTCCGGCTCGTTCTGGACATTTGAAACTTCAGGACCAGTCCTGATAATGTTTGACTAAATGCCTATATTCGACCAAATACCCCCAAACAATGATTGTAACATTTCAAGAGTTATTGTATGTGATAGTTATTAATAGAAATAAATTTATATTTTAGTAAATTATTTATTTTATATTTTGTATTAATGTAGTTCAAATAATAAAAGCAACAACAACAATAATAATAAGTTAATAGTAATAACAAAAACAACAACAATAATCTAAATCTAAATAATAGTAAAAGACAAGAAAGTGAAAAAAATACAAAAGACAAAAGACAAAATAATAATAATAATAATAGACATAAGAATGTGCATCTAGCAATATTTGGGACTATATATAAAATCACCCTAAAAAATGAGTCGTATTGGCTTGCAAAAAGAAATAATCATTTCTAATAAATGAAAGTTTTTTTTGCCACTTGTTTTTTTGTCACTTGTCAATCTCACATTAGTTTTTGACACTTGTCATTTTATGGTATTTTTGAAATAAATATTATCCACTTGTCAATTCCTGGTTTGTTTCAATTTTTAAAATTAAAGTCATATACTTATATATGTAAAGTATTAAATATAATATATATGATATTAAATTACAATTAATACGTTTCTTCCTTTCTTATTTTAAAGTTTTACATTAAAAAATATTTATTGTTTACACTTTAATGTTTAATTTTTTTTTTAAATCAACCCGTGTATTACACGGGTCTCTGTAAAGCCAAAGTAAAAGAAATAGACCTTTGATAAACCTAACTCACACTTCACTAGTGAATAGTAGAAAGACAACGAGATAATTTTGTCATAACATGCTCGATACTATTTTTCCTCTTTTGTTTCTAATCATCGACTTAAAAACTAACATGGGTCCAAATGATGCAATCTGTTATAACATGTTTAGTACTATTTGTCCTCTTTTGTTGTGCTTTATATTTAACTAGTGAAATAGGTAAAATAAAAAATATTACCTAAAAAAATTGGTGAAATGGGGAAAGGTAAAAAATTTAGTTAAATACACATTTCATCAAACGACTATGATAAATAGATATTTCAATATTTCATTAAGCATGATACAAGAAGCTTGTGGCATGTTTGGTTCATGGATTTCAAGAAGGGGAAGGGAGAAATCAATCTCAACCGTTGATTGAACTAAATACAAACTACATTTGCAGTAATGGGATTAATTTTATACTGCATTTGCATCACCCCATACTTTCTTACATACCAAATTTACTATTCAAACCACGTCACAATTCACAAATGAGAATATTTATTTATGAAAAATCTCTAAAAATGAGATTAAATATGTCTCTCAATGTAATCAAACCCAACACACACCGATTGCTAGCTTCAACAACCACCACACGACGCATCCCTATCATAATCACACAAAACTTTTATTAAATGATTGCAACAAAAAAGTTATTTGTCAACACTCACTCAACAACCTTTTTAGTGTTTTATTTTATGAGGGCATTCACATCTCACTGAAATTCAGTCATAGTCCCAGTTGAATGCATGTCAAATACAGTACAATCTGTTATGTCATGTCATACATACCTGGATCTGAAAGAAGATTCATGACCTTAAATAAGGAATCAGAGCGCGTGCATATGCCATACCTAGCACGAGCGTTCTTGTCTACAAGTTGTAGTGCCTAAATCACGTAATTCATGACAAAAATGCATTTAAACTTTTGCACAATAGTTGACTTTCTTAATATTGGAAAATGGTCAAATACGTGAGGATCAACAATATCATTTTTGCATCATGTGAAAATGTTTTTTACGATAGTATAATTCTATCTATGCATGTTCAAATTTTTTAGTTCATAAGTTATATTTACATCCCAAAAAGTTTATGTGATAACATATTTGATCTAAATTTTTTTATTATAGCATCTTACTTTCATTTCTTTATTATCAAAATATTGTCCTTTCGATTTTGTTTATTATTAAGGCATTGTACTTCGAAAAATCTAACCAATTATAGCAATGGTTAACCAATAATCCCTTTTTTTTTTTTTTACTTTTTGGTAATGTGGATGCTAAATCACAATTAACCCAATTATAATATCGGAAAAAAAATTATTACTCAATTTTTTTTTTATGAAAAAGGAAAACAAAGGCTTACTTGAGATATTGTTGTCTGATCAAGCTGAACATGAACATATGCATTACCCTTTGCTAACGAAATAACATCACTAATGAAACAGGAAAAATTCTAATCAGTACCCTTTTTGGTAATAAAAAAATTTAAATAATAAACCATTAAAAATTCTAAGAGAACAAGAAACTACCTCCTGGAAAAAACATCAATAAGAGTCCCCTTATCATCAACAATAGGCACTGAACTTATACGTTCTGGAAAAATCACAATTCACAAGTAAGATTTTCAAACATAGATACAGGGGCATAGTTGGTATTAAAAAAAAAAGATAATATAGTTGATACTCACCATCTATTAACAGTCTATAAGCATCACTAAGAAGATAATTAGGAGGAAATGTTCTTAATTCCCTTACACCCCCAATTTCTCTAATCCAAGTGCCAATTGGAAGACCACCAATCGAATGTTGTAGAAGAGGTAAATAATTTATACGATGTTCAAAATGTCTGCATATATCTACATTTTCAAAAATGAAAATACCTTTAGACCATAATCAACAAATCTTGCAAGAAATAGCAATCTACTTTCATTTATTTCTTTACTATAGCATCCTACTTTTATCTGTTATTTACAAATATATCAAAGTATGTTGCTATTTCTTGCATTAAACCATTGTGGAAAATTGAAGAAAGAAACATACGTTCCAAGAGTCCACTAAGGCATGCAACATGAAGCAATTGTGGACAAGTTGAACCTTGTTGCACATATACAACAGGAATTGCAGATATGTGATTTTGCAAGATTCTAATTGCAACATCACTCAGGGAATCATCAGGATCAACCTGTGTGTTTTCATATAAATATATTAGTGAATAAATTATGAAAATCAGTGATATATGAAAATAACAATGAATGAGTTATGGTTATGAATTATCATTACTTGGATCAATGGTCTTCTTTGAAGTTGAAGCTTCCCTTCTTTCCATGCAGATATTGTAGAAAATTGATGGACATTATTTGTCCCCATTGCACGATTTCTCTGAAGCTGCAAGATTATTAATAAATTTTAACACTTTATTTAATTCCTAGATGTTCTTTTTTCTCCTTAAAAGTATAATTAGTAAGTTGTTTTATACCTCAATTAGGACCATAATGAAATCGGATGGGGTTAGCATCCCTGAAATCTGTAAATTGGATGCATCCCAAAGTGGGGCAATAACAAATCCCTGAAATGTAAGAAAAGATTTAGAATTATACACAAACAATCAAAGAAATTAGGATCATATAAATCAAGAAACCATAATAATTTTGGAAAATTTTCTACCTCTTCATGCATAACAAGAAATGCTTCTTCCACAGTCATATTATCATCCAATGCGAAAACCTAATGTCCAAAAGAATAACAATGATAACACATAATTACTTATTAAAAATGAGTTTGTTATGAAAAAAAAAATTATATATAAAAAAGGGAATCAATTCGAACCTTTCCTGAATCGGGAATTAACTCGTATGCTTTGTAAGATGAAAAATGTTTAAATAATCGACGACATGTAGTCTCAATATCATCATTGGTTAATTCAACTTCCACTTCTTTAGGAACACTTCCTGATGTTGAAGCCTAAAGTACATTTTTTTTTTTTAAAAAAAATGTTAAAGAAAAATGACTGCAGATTTGTAGAAAGTTAGGTCCTGACTTTCTTTATTAAGTTAAAGAAAGTCTAGAACTCGTTATAAAAACTAGAAGAAAATAATTTCATAAATACTTACAACATCAGCATGATTTCTATCATCATAACCATCAATATCCATGACTGGTAGACCATCATCAAAAAGTAATGTTTGAGGCATTAGCTGCGGTTGTTCCACAAGAACGACATTGTTAACACCATACTCATCTTCAGAAATTGGTTGTCGTTCATCGATCCTCCATACACCATCAACCAAGAATTTGAACTTCATCCGATATTTGGCGCCCAGAAAAACAAAAAACCAACAAAAATCAAAATCTTTTACCAAATTAACTTGTGGTAGTACATTAGTACTTGAATCATCCATCACAATCACATTAAATATCATCATTGAAACATCAAACCTTGATTTGATTGACAAATACGATGGAGGAAAGAAATTAATTACCTTGTGTAAACCAGGTGGTAGATCGCAAATCGTCATAAAAGTCGTGGATGAACCCTCGACAGTGACCATCTGTTGATACTTGATCCACCTTCACATATAACCACCAGTTGCATTATAAGTTTAGTGTGTGTACTGTGTGTTCCACAAAATTAAAGTCAATCAAAACTAAAATCAATCAATTACGAAAAACCCAAGTGCAAGAAGTGAAATTGATAACATACGCAGTGAAATCACCACATAGAAAGACTTGATTGCCTCCGTGAGACCACACGAAGTGTGTATGAACCATCTTTGTTGAAAAATCAGTTCGCCCTAAAACAGTGTGCAACTATAGGAAATCGAAAAGTGGAAAAGGATCAAAAAATTAGGGAAAAGGGTAGAATTCAAACAAAAATCAAATCTTTATGTGGATCCTGCCGGCGTAACTTATGCATATACAGTATACACATATCAAATGAAATCTGTGCATAATTAGGAAACAGAATTTTGAGGAGCTTAGCCCAATTAGGAAACAGAATCTCCTCGATTTCTCAGAGCTGTAAAACAGCGGAGAAACAAAATATATATATTTATATTTGTGTCATGTTCCTTCTTCCTTTGTTTTTCTCCAATCAATAGTGAAAAATAATAGTAGTAAAAGAAAAGAAACCGTATCTTTTAAACATTTTATTTTATTTTATTTTAAATAAATGTTGAAATTTTTTATTATACAAATCTAATTAAATGAGAAAGTCGATAACATGTAATAATTGATATACTGGTAGCTAGTGATTTATTTGGTAAGTGGTTTATGTAAGATAATTACTTCCGAAACTCATATCTAAACACTCCAAAAGGGTAGGGTATCGTTTATTATGGAGAAGAAAAATGATTTTATAGGGGTATATATATTCAGTTGTTTTGTTATATTTTGTATATATAACACTAAACTCACATGAGTCGTCCAAAACGTACTATTTTGAACAAGTATTGCAGGTTAATATTTTTATTTGTACACTAGTTAGGTTAAGTTTTTTCATACATAATTATCATTAAGTCATGTCCCAGTCATCTTTTCCGATGATCACCATCCACAGTTCCACACCCACCATCACCACCATCGTCCACCTCACACCAACACCATCCATCTCCAACAACAAACATTACCTTCTATCACCACCATTTGCCACCACAACCATCCATCTTCATCATTCACCTTCACAAAAAAAATTAAACTGAAATCATTGAATGAATGTGTAAATATATATATATATATATATATATATATATATATATAGAGAGAGAGAGAGAGAGAGAGAGAAAGAGAGAGAGAGATGAGTTTGGAGCGACAACAGGAGTAAGGGGAGGGCGGGGTGTTTTCACCGAATGAGGAGATTGTGTTGAATATCATATCAGATAGACACATCAGGAAACTGACAAATAGTATTGAGAATTATATGTTAGTTAGTTGCAAAAAATAAATCCAGTTATTATCATAGTTACAAAGTTTCGTCCAGAAACCAGATCGATCTTTCACGATAATAAGAAAGGAATAAGGAAAATATCCTGTTATCGGACGAATTAAAATAACAAAATAGTAAATTGAAACCAACCTAGAGTTATTGATCTTCGATAAGTAAAAAACTGTATGGAAGAAGCTTTTTTCTTTAAAGGTTTTTACATCGCTTAAAAGTTGTAAGCTTCAACGTAAACACCCAAGATTTGATGCAAAATATTTTTCGTTTCAACTGTTGAAAATAGTGTCCAAGGCCATTAATTATTGATAATATTTTTAAACGATAACATCGTCCTTTTGGGTTGGCCTCACGACACAATTATCAATAATGGAAAAAAAATAAGTTGTTAATTTATTATGAATTAATAAATTAATTAAAAATTACTTTGGTAAGGATAAGGATTATCGTTAGGAATTTGACTAACTTAAGGATTTTAGTTGGAGCATATAAATAAGAGGGTTGGGATCAAACCCAAGGGCTTCCTAACTCTAGATTTTCGTTCACATTTCCTCCTATATCTTCATAGGGCTGAAAATTATAACCCCTCTCTAGGGTTATGAAATTTTTGACTTATCCCTTTTTCTACGGTTTCCTTGTTACGCTTCTTGGAGTCTTGGGTCTGACTACATAGAAGGATTCTACTTTGGGTCCTTCATCCATTGAAAGAGTTGCTAATCACAAGGTCTCAATCAAGCGATTAATACGTAAGTGTTTTATCCTTCTCTTTAGCTGATTTCAAAAGTAGGTTGTTATAACTAGTAAAATTTAGATCTTAGGGTGTACACTTAGGTGAATCTATGATTGTTTTCGTTACCTTTAGAAAGTGTATTGATGTATGAATAACCCAACCTTGGTATCAGAACCTAATAGGTTTTAGTTATTTGCACTGCTTAAAATCAAAAATCATGAAACCTACTAGTCACAGACGCGGGGCGCCCCTTGCTGGATACGTCGCGTCTAGCCAAGTTTATGTTACAGTTTATCAGATTTTGGATTTTGTTTGTTTTTCGAAAATCTCGAGATAAGCCTCTTGTTTAAAATATTGTTTTTTAGTTGTTTAAATTTGAATATTCAAATCTTAGATTAATTTGAAATAATATTTAATAAGAATATAAATCTGAATATTTAATTAATTAAAATTTGAATATTATTTAAACTTGAATTTAAAATTTGAATATTTATCTTGAACTTTATTTAATAAGAGAATTAAATTATAAAGAAAATAATATAAATTTAAAAGGTTTAAATTTAGTATATGGTAGGATTATTGTATGTATAACAACCATACGACATGTATCCTCACATGTTTAATTTAAAACATCATCGTCGAATCAAGATTAGGCTTACCCACTCTAATACTATAAGAGAGGTTTAAGAGGTATTTATGATTCCAAATGAGGTTGGTTTTTAAAAGCATCATTGTTTACCACCCTCATCGGATTTTTGTATTTTGAGACTAGAGTTACCGAAAGGATTCGACTGGATTTTGTTTCAAGATTATAAGTATTAATCTAAGTAACAAAACAAAATTCCCGTTTTATATATAATAAACACGAGCCATGTGTTACAAGTGAAAACACACATATTGTATATATTTTGATTATGGAACGTGTGTGGTTAACCGACACGTCATTGCGAAAATATAAGTGAATATGATGTGTCACTCCTATATTATGTTAATGGAGCGTATGTGGTTAACTGGCACGTCAATGAAAATATAATCTAAGTCGAGGGTCACACGGTTTTGCATGGTTGATTCACCATCTATTCAACGGTCTACAACATCCCCTTCATTGAATCGAGATGAGCACAATCCAAGATTAACATGTCATTGAATCTCAAATGATCTAGAGGTTTCAAAAGATTGAAACTGGCAAAGTACCTTGCTTACCTAAATAACTTTGTTGCGTGTTTACGACATCCCTTTACACATCACAAAGCCAAATATGGGTCCTAGCCTTAATTAATAACTTATTATGGGTTAAAACTTATTTAAAGGATTAATAAAACAAACAAGAATGAATTAATATTGAATGATGTCAATAAGATAATCCATTAAAATCTATTGCTATAAAACATCAAAAGGGATTAGCTGGTGGGATGATCATTCTAGTCCAAATTCATAGTTTGGGAATAGTTCTCATCGATGAATAGATTGATCATGCCTTTGATAAAGCTCTTCCTACGGTTCCTCCAACCACTGCATTCTAAAACTGTAAGAACAATTATCAAATAAGCATATAAAAGTGAGACAAAATTTCGTATTAATTAGGAGTTGACTGTGGTTCTTATAATCAACTGGATAATATGACCATGTGCTAAAATCCTTTTCATGACACTTTAGAGGATAAACCATTAATCTTTTTTTGAGGTGGCACCACCTCTAGATCATATAGGCAACGTTTTACAACATCTTTGTTGCTTAAATGTCTCCAAAACTTTGTTAAGAGTGTTAACTCAACCTTGTTTTTGGCAACAATGTATTACCCTATCTCACATGAATATATAATTAATGACAATACCTTTTATCGTTAGTGGCTTCGTTGTTACCCTTTAAACTTTAAAATTAGGAGCACTAATGTTAGGTTGGGTTTCCATCACTAAACGATTCTATTGTGTTTTTAGACCCATGACTCTCGTGGTAGATATAACCAAATCTCTAGTCAGAGGTTTGGTAAGTGGATCTGCCATGTTCCTACTTGTCTTGACATAAACACCTTTGATGGTACCACTCTGTAACACCCGCAAACCAGAAGGCCAATTAAGGAAAGAAAAACTTCAAACCAAGAAGGCAACTCCTCGAGTTCAAGGGCGAGAACTCGATGTGTAGGAACATTGGGCACGCGAGAATTTAAGGACCAACTCGACGAGTTGGACTGGATTTGGGAAACCCTAGATCCGGGATTTTGCACCCCATTTAAACACTTTATGGCCTAGGGTTTGGCCTCATTTCCAACCTCCGTTGTCCAAACCTTAGATCTTGAAACCCTAATGCTATAGTGATCCATTTTGAGTGTTCTTGTGAGTGTTTGAAGAGCTTGGAAGGAAGGAAAGCTTGAAGGAACAAGGAAGAGTTGCTAGATCCAGAAACCTCACTCCATTTTCGTCACTTTCTGGTAATCAAGTCTCAAACTTGACTAGTAGTTGATTAGATCCTCATCTTAGCATCTTTATGTGGATTTTGGTCCAAATGATATGACTCTTGGGATTTGGACGTCCCAAGTGAAGAACACTTCAGATCTAGTGCCTAAAGGGACTCTTATGTCATAAAGGTGCCAACTTTATGGCCATGGAAGTCCTATGCAACCTCTAAGCCTCTATTTTGGCCTTTCTAGCTCCAAAAGGCCATGCATGTGAATAAAGCTTGAAGCTTTACGAGATCTTCTTGCCCCTAGAGTCCAGATCTATGACCCCATGGGTTATCTTGCTGTTTTGGTGATGTTTGGATTAAGACCTTGGCCTTTTTGGGTTAGAGTTTAAGCTTAATCCATTTAGGAAAGATATTATGGGTAAAGTTGGAAACTTTACCCTTCCAGAAGCATTTCAATTTAGATTCAGAGTATAGAGTGTAGATCTAAAGGATAAGGGCTTAATGCATTAAGAAAGGCTAGCAGACTGAAGAACTCGACGAGTTCATAGACGAAATCGACGAGTTGGGTCGAGGAATCCCGATTCTGTTAAAGGGAAGAACTCGACGAATTCATGGAAGAACTCGACGAGTTGGATCGCGATTCACAGTTCTGTGATTCATAGGAACTCGATGAGTTGAAGGGCTAACTCGACGAGTTGAGTCAACTGGGAGCGTTGACTTTGACTTTAACTTGGATGTTGACTTTGACCTTGACCTTGACTTTAACCAAGGTTGACCCTGGAGGTATATAATGGGTTTAAAAGGGTTGAGTAAAGTCCATATTTTGACAAGTGTGTGGGGTATAATGGTCTTTTACCCCAGTGAGGACTTATAGGTAAGTTATGAGAATCCCAACTTAATTAGTGTATCTGATGACTAGTAGCTCGGGGAGCCGAAGGATCAGCAGTTCGGGGATCCGTCAGCTAGCAGCCAGAGGATTATCTGTGGGATTTCAGCATCGAGGTGAGTTTCCCTTTGTG